TGCCAGATAAATTGAGACGGCGGCGGCGGCGCTTTTCATTAAGTGTAGCCCAAACTAGTCGCTGATAGTGTGGTGCAAAGGTCTCACAGTTAGCTACGACGCGTGCAGTTACCAGTTCGAACCCGGCTTAGTGCAAAAAATTGTCTACAGAATTTTCTGTTCTCTCTCCCGTTCTGGTTGCCCTACACTGCTAAAAACAACTAACCTAACCCGGTGTGTTTTGACCGCGCAAGCACTCCAGTCGTATCAACAATATTTGTTTATAATAATGCATATAGATGTTGTTATTATTTCATCATATTATTAATATTATGTATTATTATTATATTAATTATATTATTTTACAATTTCTACTTTTTGTTCTTAAATAAAAAATTATTATTGGAATATATGATTTTAAATTAATATCGTAAAATATTTTTTGTAACAATAGTTGGTTTATTGATATATTTTCAGTAATAATATTGAAATACGGAGGACCACTGGTTTTCCGTTATCGCGCCGTCGCCGTCGTCTCAATTTATCTGGCAACGACTGTACAATATACAATCGTAAACAGTTGTCATATATACATGGGCGTAGCTAAAATTTGAATCAGGGAGGGGCAAAAACATAAAATGATTAGTGATGAACTCGTAATTCAAATAATCTATAGATAGACCATTGGATAACACATAAAACATTAAAATGATTACACGTGTAGATATCACTCGGTCCCACTAAACTATTTTTAGAATTATATCTTATTTAATTTTTGATTTTAATGTAAAACTTACACGTTTAGTATAAACAAATATAATTCAGTTTGAGGCGCAGGGGTGGGCTAGTGCCAACCAGTACCACCCTCGCTACACCCATGCATATATACGAATAAAAATTCCTATATGTATGTAATGAAATCTCCTTTTCATGACTATCGATACCTTGATAATAATTAGATATTAACGTAGCATACGACGCGTTTAGCTTGCATGCAAACTTTAAGTGACCGTATTCATTAAAAAATAAAAGTTTTCTTGATATAAATGGTGAAAAGAAAAATGTGGGTATGGGATTATGCCAAACCTGAAGGTGATCGCGCCTTTTACGATTTATGTGACATTGATGGTAACAATGAATATTCTTGTGTAGGCGGCACCAGTGGCGTAGCCAAGGGGGGGACTAAGGGGGCTATACCCCCCCCCATGGGCCGTGTTTATATGTATAATGTATCTTGACTATTTAATAGAATCAATGGATGCTCGTTTTAATCAAAGGCTTATTGATGTTATGCCACTTGAAGGACTTATTCCGGCCAATTTAAATATGTATGACGATAAAAATATTATAAAAACTGCTAAAATATATGTCCAAGATCTCCATGATGATACCTCAACTACAATCAGAGCTAACCTGTTCATATGGAGGCAACAATGGAGTCAAAATACTATTCCAAAACCGAATTCTGCTCTTGATTCACTCTCTCATCACACCAATCTTCGACCTAACATAAAAATACTTTTACAATTATTCGCCACGTTACCTCTTTCACTCCGGAAAGAACGTTATCAGCACTTAATCGCTTAAAAATTTTTTTAAGAAGCACCATGTCGGAAAACAGACTGAATGGGTTAGCTATGGCTAATATAAATAAAAAAGAGCAATTCGATGAAAGTGAAATAATAACTGAATTTGCCAGAAATTCGCCTAAGAGGATGCAGCTGTCAGAGTGGAGCAAGTGACTGAACACTGAAACCAAAATTATTATTATTATTATTATTATTATAAATTATATATTAATAAATATTTTTAAAACTATACTAAAATGCTTGAATTACGTTTAGAAACTTGTTGGTAGATAGTGAGGGGAGGGGTTAAGGCTAAATTCTCATATCCTCTCTTACCTTACTTATCCAAAAAAGTAGTTAGCCCCCCCCCCCCATTTAAAAATCCTGGCTACGCCACTGAGCGGCACTATAGGGTCTTTAATAAAACATTTAAAAAGTGTTTATGGTATTAAACCACCACAAGAATCCATAGAAAAGAGGTAATTAATAAAATATATTTTTAATTATTTATTGAAATAAAGCATTATATTTTTACTGAAATGAAACAAAATTTTTATTTTTCACTCAAATTATATATTTTATGAAAATACATTTCTTGAAATTTTACAACCCTAAGTATAGTTGATATAGTTACAGATATATTTTTTGTTCGTATTTAAAAGGACACCGACGGATCGTCATGTTTACAAACTTGTTTACAGCTTCATCTATATCTAAATTACAAGCAGTATTTGATTCTACGTTGATAGACATTAAATCATTTATTCTGTCATTACACATTGTCGAGCGCAAAAAGCCTTTTTTATATTTTTTAGGACAAGAAGCTTTAATTAAAAGCTATTTTGTATTAAGTAATGTGAAAATAATTAAAAATAATTTGAGAGTTTCGATAAAATAATAATAATTGTTTTGAAGATGATATGATCGGATTGTTTTAACACAGATTTTGCTGATTGGAATTTAATAGGAATTTTGGCTTTATTTATATTAAAATATGTGAAATGTGTTAAATAATATTCTAAAATGGTGGAATTTGGATCAAAATATTCTAGACGTAAAAGATTAAAAATGTGGAAAATTATAAAAAAGTTTTTAATTTTCAGTTATGAACTGTATCTATATAAATTATATAACATAATGCCCGTGATTTTGCTTTTAATTCAAAAGAAAAATAAAATATTTATTTAAAAATCAAATATATTGACCAGTTAAGCACTAGCTACTATCAATTATTCAGTCTAATAAATTTATAAAGTGGGACTAATTTCTACAATATTGGATTTTAAAAATACGCAAATGTATTTCCTGCGCATTCCAAATGATGCCATTCACGTACATAACTTTCTGTCGTTTTATAATTTATATTTTAAATTATACCGTTTTAATAAAAAGTTAAGTAAATCATATTTTATTCCGTACGTTTGTTGCGCTGATAATATTAGATTATATTTATTAATCGTAAATAAGTCATTAATGGTGGTATCACTAATTCTAAAATGTAACATAAATATACTTGTACACTTTTATGAGCATATTTATTTTTTTTTTTTACTAAGTATATATTTCTAATTCAGTTTCATCCCTAATAAATGGCCTCTTGAAATGGCTGATCCACAGTTCCCTGACTCTGGATCCGCCCCTGCAGTTAATAATTATTAATTACAATTACTATTCTTTGCAATTTTTCAGCATTAAATTTTAGGTGACTAAGCACGGACACAAAAAAATTGTAGTTTCACAATTATATTGATACGGGTTCACAAATAAATTACAAATTTTGATCGTGATAAAATAATTGGTGTTCAATAAGTTGCTTTTTTTCACCATTAGTAATAACTGAATGTTTACATTTAGGCTGGGCATATCTACACAAAATATTTCAAAAATAATTTCTTTTAAATGTTTTAAAGAAAACATAAAATACACTGATCCCATAATTCATTTCCCTATGCACATAAGGACTAATTTTGTTGATAATAATACAATTCTCTTGAAATTATATTTTAACGTAGAAATAATTAAAAAATAAATTGTTTAGACTAAAAACGTTTATTTATATTTTATTTAAAAGATTAAAATACAGACAATTATGTCAAAATAACATTGTATACAATGTTTTTGTAATTTTATTTTAACTATTTGTTCAGTCACAATATAGATATTGATAATACGTGTATATTTAACTAATACAATGTAGTTTATCCTATAAAAACATAATATTTTTTATTACATAGGATTGAAATAACATCAATTACAACACTATAACTACAATACTAAGGCTAATTTGATTCCATGATAAATATTAAGGAATACAAAAAAAATTGATGTAAATATATTTAGCATAGTTAAAGAAAAAACAAGTGTACAAAAAAAAACTTTAAACAATACTATTTAAGTATTAAGAAAAATATGATTAAAATATTAATACAATTCCAAATGGAGTCTTGATTAGGAGATTTTGATTAACAGGTCATAGATATTTTCCTATTAATACTCATGACTTAAAGCTATTATTAACAAAAAAAATATCCAATAAAAAAAAAACTTCATCAATTATAATAACAATAATAATAAACAATTAAGGTATACACATATATTTTTAAAATAATATGTTAAAAATATTTTATATACTATTAATATATTAGTAATATTCAATAGTAAATAAGTAATTACCGAAATCAGTTAACAAAACATATATATATATATATATATAAACAATATAAATTAAGATATGAGATTACATTTTAAAAATCATAGTAAAAGTTAATTTTACTTTTATTCGTTTTGTGTTTCTTGTTGGTAATAAAAAAAATGTATACCCACAAAACACGAAGTTTAAATATTTATTTTATAAATGTTATAGGCTATATTAAATAAATAACAAAAAAAAAAAAAAAAAAATTAAATTAAATATTTTACAAAATATATATTTGGCATAAATGAGCACAATCTATTTGGGAAAATATTTCAACGAAATGTTTACTTTTTAAATATTTAAAATAAATTATGCAATATGTTAATTTAAATTAAACCAGCCTAAATCACTTTAAGCAATATTAATTAATCTGAAATTTTGAAAAAATTAAAACATTTGATATTATATCACATATTATTAGAATTATTAACATTTTTTGTTAAGTTAAATATTATGTATATGTATATATATAAATATATTTTTATGATATAGTTATGCAATAAACATAATATAAATTAAAACATCTAGTGAACATATAAAAATCAAAAGTGAGATCCATTAACATCACTTCTCCACTAAAACTAATAAACATTGTATAATGTAAATATAAAGTATTTTTTCTCAAGGAAAATATTTTGCTTAAAAATCAAACGAATAAAAAATATTTTTTTGTTATTTAGGAGTGAAAGTCAGTCCTTAAGTAAAAAAAAATATATATATATATATTAACCTATAACATATTTTATTATATTTTGTATTTATTTAAGTCTTTCATTTATAAAAAATACAGAGCATTATTCAAAGTGACCAAATTTTTATAAATGAAAACGGTCATTTAGTTGAACTAAGCATTGATTACCTAAAATAAAGGAATAATCATATAAATATATAAATCTAAATACAAAATGTATAAATATTTCAAATATAACTATATAATTACTTTGATCATTAGACTGTGTGTTACTTATCATAGGACAACAGAACTGATTGTTATTGTATTGATTGTTATTGTTGATTGTAGTGATTGGTTTGAACTTATCGCCAAATGGTGGACACAGTTCAGTAGGCATAGGCACCTGTGATGGATGAGGTGCTTGTGGTGAAGAACAATTAACCAATGACATAGGGCTCATATTAAATATATTTGGATGCAACTTCAAATCAGGAAGTTTTACTATAGGCGTCTGAAAAAAACTTAATGTTAGTATTATACAAAATAATTAATTTAACATATAAATTACATAAATAATTATTTGAATTCAGATATTGTTAAATCGCTTCCGAGAATTGATCACATGAAATAATTTTTAATGACTAAGTAAACTAAAAAAGAAAGGAGAATTCAAAAATCCTCAACCAACTTTTCAAAAGCAACATAGAAAATAAAAATGAATCATCAGCTCGGCCTATTGAAATATCATCATTTTTTAACAGTTTCTTAACGTATAAAACAATTTTAAATATTCACAATCATGTCAACATATTATCTATTTTGAATTTTTCTTGATAACATTAAACATTTAATAAAAAAATTATAGATAGTAACAAGTGTATAATATCAGTATTTGGGACTAAGCATGTATAAATAGGTTGGTTAAATTGTAGAAAACTGGTTAACAGAAGTCAACAGATTTAACACATTACAACCTATTTCTATCATATGGCCCCCAAGCTCATCATGTATGTATACACTATAAACAACATTTTTTTCTTTAAAATAAATTTATAATAATAATAATTCTATAACAAATAAATATATCTATTTATACTTCACCTTTATCACAGATAACATTTTATCTGTGCTTTTATTACAATATTTATATGTGTAGAATAAGAACATTTAAAGGAATATTAAAATATATTTAAATATTTTGTAGTTAAATCAGTTAACAAATCGCTTCCGAGAATGATCATGCAAACATTTTTAACAAGTTAAATATTTCTCAATGTTGGGAGATTTAGCTCAACCAACAGATAAATATAGATCCATATTTAAAACATCAAGTCAGCCTCGGCCTGTTATCATCATTTTCAACAAAACTTGTACTTATATTTTATTTGAATAATTAATAATATAAAAAAAGTTTTAAGAAATAAATTACTGGTTTTATTATAAAAAAAAGGTTATAATATTTTAGAAGAATTAAATTATTTTGGGGCATATTTAACTATCTGATACAAATAAATTCATAACTATTACCTTATTATTCTCATCTAACAGATATGCATTGGTTTCGTTATAACTTTCTTCATGGATTTTTGTGCATATCATAGATTGATTATTTTCTAATTCATCAAGCTTGGGTGTTTTCATAATAGTATTTGGTACACGAATACCTACGCCTATATAACATAGAAAATTTGCCTTTAAGATAAATACTAAACAGTATAATATATTCATAATTAAACTTTTCAGAGAATAAGATGTCTTACTTGCAAGTTCTTTATTGAGTTCAATATAACGTTTTGGTGGTTTGTTTACAATAAGTACAGTGTGTGAAATACTAGTTAACAATGCTATTACAGATTGATATCCATAAACAGCAGGCTGAATGGCAGTTCCAAATAAACGTAGGTAGGCAGCTTCAAGAGATGAAAACAATAATCGACCATCAGACAATAATAGTAGACGATACATATTTTGAGCAAATAATTGCAGTGTTGTTAATTGGATATATTCCTCACCAAATTTAGTTTTAATAATCTGAATATAAATTAAATAAATAAATACTCGAAAAATTGTAATCAAATTATTCAAATTCATTACATTTACTGTTTCACTAAGTTTCTCTTGGATTGTTTCTATAGTTATAGATTCACCAAACATTGTGTGGTATACAGATTGAAATTGTAAAACAGACATTTTATCATTGGATGAATGTTCCATTAATACTCGTCTTACTTTTAAAGACAACCTATGAGCCTCTTTACGGTCTACTGCGATCAAAAATAGCTCACCATGATTATCAACAACCTACAAAAATTTAAAAATTTATACAAAATATACACCCACCCTACACTGCCAGCACCAACCATCTAAATAATTAACTCACCTTTACAGCATCATCAAGTTTTTGTAATAACTCCATTAATGTTTCACATTCATACATTGATGGTTTGAGACCATAACCATACTGCCACAAGAAAGCATTTTGTAGCTGACTAATTTGTAGTGGATAAATGGCCAATGCAGCTAGTTGCTCACCAAGAACATTTTGCTTTACTTCAGTTGTTAATGAAACACGACGTTCTCCTTCCAAATCATCTTCAATCTATATTATCATTAAAAAAAATTAATAAAATTCTTAATATAAAAAATTTAAAAAACAGTCAATACATCAAGCAAAATTATAAAAAAAAAACACATATATTATCATTATTAAATGATAATAAACATACTAGAATATAACAGAACATTGAACACTTTACACATGTACAAACCAACACCAACGCTCTTAAAATACCTTAACAATATGTGGTATTGCTTCAAATAACTCAATCAACTTGGTAAATCCAAAATCAGCAACTTTACATTGATGGCCGAAATGATGATGATAAGAAGGAATGAACTTATTAAATAATAAACTACACTGTGGAGCATGACTTAATAACTCTATTACCTATATAAATTATTGGAATTTTATTGTTATATTTAAATTTATATAATCTTGTTTAAACTTAACTAGAAATGAATCTATTAATTATTTTGCTAATATAAATAAATAAAATTTACTTCTTTTGAAAAGGCTTTAGTACGTTCAATTTCTTCAGGAGTTTGCTCTCGCTTAGGAATTGCTACTGATTTTTGTCCATCTAGATGACCAATGACTACTGTATTTTCGGATACTTGTGATAATAAATCATCAAGAGAACAAAGTCCATAATCTACTGGATCAAACACACGGCCTAATGTCTTTTCGAAAAGTGTAGCAAATTCTAAAATGGGCACTTGTTTGCTTGCTACAGATTTGAGAACTCGCAATAAATCTGATGTAAACCTCCGCATTTGAGCTTTATGTGCTAATGTAATAAAACGTTTATTGCCCTCTCCAAAAACCTAAAGAAAAAAAATATATATATATACAAACACAATATAATAATTGATTAATCAACCATTATTAGCAATTGAATATAAATTAATATTAATGATACTCAATAATAAAACTGGTATAAAATTTAACTACCTGTACAATATTGGGTAATGCTTCTAATAAATCAATCAGTTTGGTAAACCCATAATCAGCAACCCGACACTGACGGCCAAAATGATGATGATAAGCTGGTATAAAACGATTGAATGACATTGTACAATGAGTACAAGTTTTTAATAAATCAACCAGTTCGCGACTCAATAAAGCCATATTATTGGCTAATGGTGGACTAATACTTTTCACACCACTTACACTAGCTATAAATTGTGATTATTTTTGATTAGTTATATAAAAATATTCATTAGAATATTCATATTCACAATAATATTACCTTCTGATTTAGTATCAGATTCAAGGGTTGAAGATCTAGTGGACATATTTCCAACATCTGAAGTTGAAGACGTTGTCAAATATTTAACACCAACACTACAGCTCTGAAGAAGTTCAACACCATTAACAGCAGTCACAATATGTTCTAAAGGAACTCCAGCATCATCTGTCTGTATTTGTTCATAAAATGCAGCTTCATAACAATCACAAATACTAAAAAATAAATTGTGTCAATTTTTTTTAACTGCTCATTAATAAGATTTTTTTTATTTTATTTACGTCGCTAAAATTAAATAATTATTATGGGATGATATCAATGAATGTAAACGCGTGGAAAATTCATTTAGTGAAACTTTCACATATGGTAACGCAGGCATTTCCAATTCAGCCCAGCCTTTATCATCAGTTGGTTTTGTCATTTTGGCATGGGATGGACAGTACGAAATTGCATCACTTTTATCCTAAATAATAATTAACAGTTATATAACAATGAAAAATGTCAAGTATATATTTTATTAGATACATAATGTTGCTATAAAAGAAACTCACTAAATGAGACATAGGCATAGAAGGTTGAAGAAGGGGTGATGGGGTATTACGATGTTCAGGATTTAAACTAATAATTCTATGATTTGGTTCTTCACTTATTAAACATACATCTTTCATTTTATATAGATCTGATACAGATACAGAAGTCATGAAACGATTTTCATACATTTCACGAAATTTGAATAAAGGTAAACGCTGTCCAGGAACTTCCATCAGTATATAAGCTATTTGAGATCTGTGCACAAATCCTCCAGAATTAAAATATATTTCTTAAATAACAAAACCTATTTTAATCTATACCTAAGCAGTGTAGGATTTTGAGGATAACCAGAATGTGCATAGGCAATCATAATTCTTTTAAATCCAATTTTGCGCCTGTGAAGCTTAGAAATAGCATACTGTGCATCTTGCTGACTAGATACTCGAACAGCTGCTGCAAAGTTACCATCGGACTGATAAAAGACTGACACGTGTAACACCTAATCCCAGATTTAATGTAAAAATAAATTTATTTAGAAATGTTTCAACAAATATCCATACCATAACATGTTCTCTGAATGTGTTAATTAATATATTTTTCATCTCAACAGAATCAATGTTCTGATCTAAATTAGTAACATGCAAGTCAACTGGATTACTTTGTTGAGTTACAAGTACTGGGTTCTGATTTGTTGGTAAATTGTTATAAGATGGAGATATAGGATGAAAGTATCGCTGAAGAAATAGAGATAAATAAAAATTGAGAACTAATAAATAAAGCTAGATTAAAATAAAAACTTACATCAGGATTTGTATTCTCCACTAAAGTTGGTGGACTTACTCTTCTAGGAACATTGATAATTGGAGGAGGTGGAATTGAAGTATTAACACCAAACATCATGTATGATGGAGGACCACCATTTGAAATAGGCCTTGTATTTCTCTAAAATTAAAATTATGTAATTAAAAACATAAAATAAAATGATATTAATTACTTGAGAATCAGTTTGTGATAATCCACTTGGTCCTCTTTTTAAAATTGTTATAGGAGCACCATTATTCATTGCTGCTGGATATCCATGCCGCATCCAATTTTCACTTTGTTTTACTAGAAAGTAAAATTAATATTATTCAATTCTTATAATTCTATAATTAAAACAAATAGTATATTACAAGGAAGGGGCTGTGTAGTAGAATTTTGGGTTTGACTGGTAACACATAATTGATCCTGGTTATCTCTAATACCAGATATTGGTCTTCCTCCATTATTATAGTTAATTGAACTTCCTCTAGCTCCATTCTAGAGTTTTAAACGATAGAAGAATTAAAATATATTTTATCAAAAATGTTTATATTTAAAATATATTTGATTCTGAATGAAGCAAGATATTTACACAGTTAATATTTTAAGAGAACTATTTGCCTGACTTAATTTGTGATGCATTAAAAATTACAAAAGGAACTGAAAAACTAAAACCTTATAACATGACAAAATACAGTTAGTATTAATGCAACTCAAAAAATAATTTTCAGCTTTTAAGAACATTTTTTTAAAAAATAAGATAATAACAATAATAATAATAATAATAATAATAAGATTAAATCACTTGATAAGTAAAAATATATAAAAAATATTTGCAGTAGTTTTTAGTTTTAATATAATTGGATTGATATATTATTAAAACTATTATGGAAATAAGAAATAATTAGTAAATGATTTTTCCATAATTTTTTTTGTACAAATAATACTTTTTATTCGATAGTATATCGTTAATTAGATATCTATAGCCTTTAATTTACACACAGTGTTAATTTAGTTATATTTTAAAGACAATTACACTATAAAACTCAAATATTAATTACTAAAGTTATTTAGATTTGCATTTGATTAAGATTTTACTAAAAATTGTATCACTGTACTAAAATTCTAAGTTTTTTGACTTTATGGAAATATTAACTATATTAATATCAGATTATTTTCATTTTCTTGTCAGATTTAAATTATTGTCTTGACAATTCATAAAAACACTTCACTGACCTATCAAAACAATTCTAGAAAAACATTTTTTATACTTAATGGTAAAATGTTATAAAATTATTAATTATCAATTATCATAAATATATTTGCTTTAAAAAAACAAATATATTAACAGTTTTTAAATATAAATTGGTAAGCATAATTAAATTTATCAAAAATGTACAGTAATGGGGAAGAAAAATATTAAATCATATTAAATAATTTAATGTAAATATAAATGAAACAAACTTAAAAAAAACCCATGTTTATATGTATTATGTTACCAACATACATTTAACAAAAAAATTACTTACTATAGGGATCTGAGGTCCATTCAACCATGTTTGTATACCTACAGAATTAGATGTTAACCAAGGGTTATGGTTTCTCATTGAGTTATCTACACCAGTGTTCATCTGAGACATTCCAAAACCACCTTTAACTTGTTGACCATACAAACTAGACAAATAAATTTAGTAAAAATAAAAAATTCAGACAATATTATATAATTATTTACAAGATTTTTAACGAACCCAAATGTTTGGTTTTCAAATGTAGCAGGAGGATTAACAGGATTTATATTGAACCTTGAATGCATATTATTTGAAGAATACTGAATGGTAGTAGCTATATGTTGTATATTTTCTTCTCTTGTCTGTACTACAGGTCTACCTAAATAAATTTAAAGATTTCATATTCAAGTTGGCCTCTATATATATATTTATATATACACATACTTATAAAACTAGTAGGTGGTGATTCTTCTTTAACAGCAAATGGTAAACTAACAACAATTTGACTATTAAACACGCGCTCTTTATTCATTCGTTTCTGAGCTCTGAAAAGTAAATAAAGTAAATATTAAATAAGAATATATTTATTCAAATTAATTTCAATAGCAAATAAAAAAATAAAAAAATAACCATGCTTTCTCAAATTTGTCTTAAAAAATGTAGAAACATAAAATTTAAACATTGATAAATAGGAATAAATCACAAATTTAAATAATTACGAAAATTAAGTTAAATATACAAAAATGAAATTATTAAATAAATTAATTTAAGCTCAATTGATTGAGCAGATGACTGATGAAAAGCATCAAAAATACTATTGAATTTTCAAGGCGAAATGTGAATAGAAATCAAATACAGGGAATACCAAAGGTAATAATGGTACAAAAATAATTAAACAAGATTGTATAGGCAATAAAAAGATATTTTGTGATAAAACTGATAAACCTTATGCCTGTTTACAATTGTTTTATCAATATCATTACTTACCTTGCAGCCATTTCTTTGGTGGGAAATCTAATTGTGGTTGAACAATTATTTATTACTCCAACACGTCCACCACAATTTTCAGATAATCTCTTTAAACGATTTCTAATTTTGGCCGGATCAATGCCACCCGGTAAATTGGATACAATAACTTCGACAGGTGTATTTCCACATTGCTAATAACATTTAAAAAAAAATGTATTCATTACATAACTTTTTATATTATTAAAGTTATATATTATATAGAGATATAATAATTTATAATGGAAATTAAAAACGGAATTTTAAGAAATTAATTTAAAAATAAGAATATACTCAATAACTCAAATACTTAATACAAAAATAAATTTAAGTACATTTAACAACTGAACTTAAATATACAGAGGTTCTGAGATTAAATAGATTAAAACTTGAATTGTTAGAATAAAGTATTTATTCAATAATTCATATCATAATGTTTTGATGTATTCTCATAATTTACTGTACACATAATATGAAAATGCATTACATATCAAGTGTGAAATTGGTATACAAATTTAATAGATAAATAAAATGCACAAATCAAAGAGAATTTTTTTTTTTTAAATAATATTTAATTAAATATAATTGTAATTACCTAATATAAAAAAATTGAATAAACAATTCTGTTAAACTATATTAATTAAATACACAAATACTCAAAATTATTAATGAAGTCTATAAAAAAAAATTAAATATTCACTGAACTCATGTTTTCTAGTAATCACAGATGTACTAATATGACTAAACTTCATTGGTAAAACATCCTATGTAGGATCCTTAAATTGAATTAGTCTAATTCATAACTATTTAAGGTTATGTAATGTTGAAAATTAAAAATGTTCTTAATTTATGCTTAATATTAAAATACTTTATAACTGATTATTTACATAAATAAAGATTGTTTTTCTATATCTTTTCTTAAATTATTTTTAAATTTTAAACAAATTAGCACTTAATTTAAAAAAATATTAAATGTAAGTATTTATCATTACTAAACTTATACAAATAGTTTCACATGACCATCAATAATATTTACTTCAAAGTTAAAGTATAATTTTTATAAACTAAATTATAATTATTATGGCCATCTATGAATAGTGTTATGTATTTAATTATACTTTTGATCCTAACTAAAAAAAAATAAATACCTTTAATACACAATTATTAAATTTCAAATTAACTTCTATAATACAATAGTACTAAGTACATTATTCAAAATGTATTATTTTAACTTGAAAAAATAACTCTTTTCCTATTATATTGCTAGCTTTCCAAATAATACTATATAATATACATTCCCTCTACGTTTTTGTTCAACAGATAATGCTATACAAATGGTATTTATCTCTTTATAACACAATTTTATATTTATTTCAATTTTAAATTCATAACATATCTTTATAATGAATCTTAAACAATGGGTAAGTTTATGTATTTATAAATTATAAATATTTTGTAGGCAAAATAACAGTTTAGCATAAACTTTTGAGTATTCAAGAAAGAGTATTAACTCTCTGCACCAAGTAATAATTTGTGATTATAATTGATAAAATTGAAAATATTCACAAATATTCACAAATAAAACATGTAAATAGATTTTTTATTAAAGTAGGCATAGTTTAGTCTAAGATATAGTTACATAAAATATTATATATGATATTCAATGTATAAAATTCAACCAATATTTAATAATACAATACTAAAAATTTAACTATGAAATAAATATCACTTACCCGAAGAGCATTTCTTAATGGTAACATTTCAACTAAATGTGTGTAATTGTAATGTTCATTGGCACACAAAATGAGACTTTCAGAACAAAGTTCATTATGTAATAATATTACATGCATTTTTTTTCTAAAAAGATGAATTTACAGTTTACAACTTTTTTTAATAGTTTAAAAAAAAGGGTAATTAAAATTACCTATGTCTAATATCACAAAGGTCAGATGCAAAATTCACATCGCCAGAAACTAAAACTACAGCTGCAGGAGAACCATGTAAATCAGCAAATCTTCTCATTGATAAACGAAGTTTCTCATCAGCTGCGTTTTTGCATACAGATGTTACATGAATTAAATTGACCTAAAAAAAAATAATATAAGTCAATAAACATAAAATATTAGACAGTTACTTACTTGAGCATCATTTAGTTCTTGAACAACTTGTGCATTTTCTTTTTTAACATCGCAGACAACAAGAAACTCAGCTTCTCGATAACCAATAAAAAATCTATCTCTTATTGCTTGGGCCACAGCTACTGCAGACCTTCCTTTAGGAACCTACAATTTATCATCATTAATACATATCAATACCTAATATTTCATTTGGCTACAACTTACTTGACAGTTTTCTATGTCCCAAAAAACACCAATTGGAGGCAAATAATGAGCAAATGAATGTTTATGTTTATAAGGAATAGAATTTGTTGAATATCCACGGGAATTATATGAAGAACGAAATCTATTGGCAGACTTTTTATTTTTTTTATATGGTAACAACTGATTATCATATCGAGGGCATTCTTGCTCATATACATCAGAATTTGAATATATTGAATCAGAGTCTGATGCAGAATCTGAATCACTGTGCGAGTATGAAGATGATGTAGTATTATTTTGAGGTAGATGTTCTTTTGGTGAAATGTAGTGCCTATTGGATAGGTGTGGTGGTGACGGAAATTTGAAATTTGTTTCTACTTGACCATCACATGAATATGGTTCTATGTTTCCAAAACAACCAATATTTTCTTGACGATTGAAAGACACTTGAAAAATATTAAAATTATGATTTTAAATAGTTTATAAAATACTTAATAGAAATTATTCATTAAGTTAAAAAATACAGCTAAACAAAATAAAAATAAATAAATTATTAAATACAAAAATTATATTTAAAATGCTGTTACAAATAAAATTTTTTGAATAATACTTACGCTTTCTTGTACACACAATAAGATGATCCATAATAGGTCCAACAACTTGAATGATTTAAAGAATATACCTCAAAACATGAGGTATTAAAGCTGCATATACAATTTTAAAAATATTTTTCTTAAAAATAGAGGTCTAAATATGAGTCTTGGTATCATTTATGTACCAACTGAATAGACCTAAAAATTTAAATTAAAACAATTAATTTCAAGTTATATAATTTAACCTAACTTTAAATGATTCTTCTAAATAAAGAGAAGAATAAAGTTGTACATTAATACTCAAAACACATTTTATATTATTAAAGTAATAAGATCACTTTAAATTAAAATATTACCCATAGCGAAATTCTGGAAATCAATCAAATAAAACATGAGATATTATTTATATAAACATCAATACTAATATTTAGCATTCACATTAGATACCTAATCAATTTTTATTTATTTATCAAAAAAAATATTAGCAATAAGTAAAATATAGTTAAAAAATAAAAATTAATAGTACATGCATATAAATTAATGGACAAGATGTTTATACATTTTAAAGCAACCAAAAACTTTTAAGGCTAAGAAACAAATTAAACCGTAATCCAAAATGATGGTTTTAAGTACAATTGTTTAAATTTTTAAAAATGTATTGATAAAACTAGAGTTAAAACACCAATGGTTAAACTTATTATAGTGGGTTCAGCTTAAGATTAAAACAATATTTTATAAATACATATATATTTCATTATAAATAAATGTTTAACTTGTTTTACAATAAAATTAGTTTTTTTTATATTAGAAAAATACGTATAAATGTTTCATATATCTTCATTTTTTACACAAAAAAAATTAAATACTAGTTAGATTACAAGTAATGTGTAGTTACTCATAGGTTACCTAGAATGTCTTAACTAAATATATATATATATTTTTTTTTTGTTAAGGCACTATAAACGAAAATAAATTAAGGTCCAAAACCTTGAGCTAACTCATAATAAATATTATTTTTATACAAATAATACATAATACAAACTTGTATACTTGAAAATTGTACATTACGATAGTCATATACTTAAGCAATAAAATGTAAAATTAGGTACCAAATCAAATAATATAATAATGATTACCTATTATAAATAATACTTACATATTCATGGTAAAATTAAAAACTTTCTTTTTAACCAACGATAAAACGTTGACAATGTGTTTAAAGAAATTAATTGTTTAAACCTAACGATGAAGCAATGGCCAAGACGTACCACAAATAATCTCATTTTCATGTATTTTATGATAATAATAACAAAGCAACAAAAGCATTTATAATATTACTGTCATCGCACTATCGAAATAAAAACCACACTGCAGAGGCTATAATAAATGCATCTGATTGATTTAAAAAAACCACGTATACTTTACCTTTTTGGATGAGATGTAATGAAATATTCGTTAATGTATATCGAGTACAATTGAACAAGTATAACAATTGAAACGGAATTTTTCTTTTTAAAAATAAATTTGTTAACTCGATGAAAACAAAATCACGAATAATGACATTGCACACGGTGTACTTGGTTGTACAGAGCACGATAGCTGATACGAGTACACATGAATACAGTACTGGGTAATGGGTAACATGAGAGGTAACCACCTAACGGTAGACGCAAATTTTAAAATCGTACAAAAACCATGTCATTATCGAAAACATCAGTTCGTAAATAATCAATTTCTAAAAGTTTTTGCGTTCAGTGTTGACGCAAGACCAATAAGTGACATGTGTTGCTCCACGCGATCTCCCCCCCCTCAAAAACCAGCATCACCACCGACAACACCGCAAGTGTAGCTATACACTATATATTACTGTTTACTTTATGATGTAGAATTTAACTTAGTTTTACCCTAATGTGGTGTTTTTTTTGTGTACTTTCACACGATTTCGACCGCAAGAATTGCTCACCTAATGAGAAGTAAAAGTTAAGGAAATAATTCTAATTGGTACTTTTGAGGTGAGGGCCATTTTTTTCAAATTTTTTTATAATTTTCAGAAAAATTAAGAAAAAAAAAAAATTCAACCGAGATTCGAACCCTCACGTCTAAGAACCGTCTATTATTATGTCGTGCATTATTTGTGCGTTTGTTCACATGAATTTGACCAGAAAAATTATTTCGACCATTACAAACATCGGGGAAAAGAATCATAATCATTTTTCATTTAATTAGGTACTTATATTTTATAATACTTCTGTAAAAACACAGAATTTATGAAAGACTACATATATTGTTGTATAAATTATATTTTCTAAATGTATTTTGGCATAATGAAATAACCATAACCAAGGGATTATTCAGTGCAAGGCAAGAGGGAATGGGCCAGGGGTGCTATTTTAAGAGGGGCGCAAATTTCAACACTACTCATGTAAAAATTTTCACGAAATATGGAAAATATGTAATTAAAACAATTTAATTTGATAAATTTGCCTCTATAAAAGCAAGAAAAGTACCATTGTGTTAAAATTAATTTAAAATCATCTAACACAATTGTATAACAAAAACATTTGAAAAAAATTACATGTTTTTATAATGCATCGATTGTTTATAATTTAAAGTAATACAAATAGTTATTAAAGGTTATTAGTAATTATTACCTTATATACTAGGTTTTTATATATGCTTTATATATCTCAAATAATTTTTTGTAAAAAATGCAAATTTTCCATTGGGAGGGGCGCAAATACAGTGATTCGCCAGGGGCGCCACCAGACCTCAATACGGGCCTGGCCATAAATGGAATTAATAAGCCAATATTAAGTATTTAATGTAAAGAAAAACAGGGAGAATCCTCTAAGTAAATCTACTAAAGAGCATTTTAGAATAACGCTCTTTATTCCCTTTCTCAATAACTTTCTGTATGACTAAGAACCTAGATTCAAAGATTTTATGTCAGCTTAAGATCTATTTGTGTTGCTACAACAAAACACATTTTCTATGTAATCTATTGTAGAAATGGATACTTGTATAAATCAATATATCTAAATTTTTGTTTTAATTGATTATGATTTAAACTACCATTTTTGCCAAATAATTTGTGGGAAGTTCAAAGGAAGTTAAATACTAACACAGGTCTTTTCTGGATAAGAATCATTTGGAAAGTTTAAAGGAAGTTCATCCGATACTAAGGCGAAACTTTCTTGGATACGAATCATTTAGGATGCTCCCAAAGACGTCTTGTAAATTTTTAGTCATTGTTTGAGTGATGGCATGGCGAAGAAAATTATCATCATTAAAAATTGGACCATGTTAAACAAATTACTCTCAACAACCGATTCCAACAGTTGTGACTCCTCCTAACTTCCAAACACATCAAACTAAACAATAAATTTCTCCTTTATAAACTCCTCTTAAAACTCATAAAGTATACAACTCTGGGGTTAGCCAAGCCTTCTAATATAAACAAAATCCAAATGTTCCAATTTTAATACCTCTGTCAAATTACAAAAGCTACTATATACTCGTATATAAAAGCTACAAGTCCACTTCAACAACCAGACAATTCCTGAGTAGTCTGGTTGTTGCACTTTAATATATGAATTCCCAGTGAAGATATTTTTTATTACATATGCAGATAACACGGACATACAATAATGTATTTGGATAGTGCAATGATTAATTATACGTGTATATTTATGTTTTAGAACATTCAAAAGGAGTCAGAATTATACTATATTTTACTACACATATATTGAACATTTTTAAAATCATAAAAAAAAAAATGAAACTGAAGTTGTCTGATAAATGCAATGGACCCTTCAATTCGACTATTACTCTCACATAAATTATGCTTATTTTAAATATATATATTTACAGATATTTTTATATATAAATTGAAAAAAAAATTAAAAATTGGTTTACTTCTTGTCACAGCATTTGTTTAGAAAATTTATAGGGAAGAATATCCGTATAAATTAGGTTCTACGGATTACTAAAACGACTACCTATTACTGTACCTACATGTCCAGATATATAATATTATTATATTACCTAATCGAATAATTAATCAATAGGCACGTAATACCAACTATTAATTCAATAATATTTATTAGTATTTAGGTGCAGATTGTACTATTAATAGTTTTGCGCTCATTGATGCAACTAGATCTAAAATATTAGGGGGGCTGAAGCCCTATAAATAAATTAATTCTAACCTAACCTAATCTAGCTATAAAAAAAATTGAGGGCTAAGCCCCCTGAGTCCCCCCAAAATGTCCCCCTGTCAATGTTTGCACTTATAGAATGAAGAATAACTTTTGAAACAAAATAAACCCAAACCCAAAACTACGAGTATTATTCAAAATACATGTAATGCATAAACATATTTACCGTTTCATTAAATTGTATGTTGCCTCTGACCTCAGCCAAGGGCGGATCCAGTATTTTTTTACGGTCTAGATCACTTTAAAGGATGATATAATATAAATGATCACAGAGATGGCGCGAGAGGGGGACGGCAATAGGGGTAGTCACCAGTGGCGCCGATCCCTGTATCCAAGTATGGTGACTACCATAGTGAATTATGTAGTAGGTAGGTACTGGGTGCTGGGTAAATAATTTGTTTTACTGTATAAATGCATAATAATGCCTTTTACATTGCCTACAATTGATCAGTTTGAATGTGATTTATTTTAATATTAATATAAATAATGGTAGTGGACATAGGACTTATTGGTGAGGATGGAGACTTGAAAATAAATATTATTTAATATATAAAGTGAACACCTATATCAGCTATATCATAAATTGATGTCACAATATGAAAATAGATACTCGTATAATGTTTATTATGTATTATTATCAATTTTGAATACAATATTATGGTAGAGTTTCAGCCCTCCCCAACCGTTTACACCAATTGGTAGGTGGATAGGTACTTTTAAAATTTGATATTCGCCATACTCCATTTTTTGTAGTTCGGCGCCACCGACAGTCGCCCACAGAGCCTCGCGGCTGAAACCCGATTGAGCACGATTGATCTTTTTCGTAACCCGTTTGAGCACGGTTGCAATCAAACAACAGGAACCAAAAAAGAACCCAAAAACCACACGATTGAGCACGAAATTGGGTGCGACGTTGTCGCTTTGCACCGTAGAATATTTGGTGCACCGTATTACTGTGTATGCAAGATTTTTTTATAATTATTATGTAATTCAATTTTAGATTTATAACGATCGAACGTCTTAAATTATAATTAATACCCTGTGGTTCTGAAATAGTTTTTAACTGAGCTCAAATTTAACCGTTGATCAGAACAACGTTAATGATGATGATTATGCGTCGAGCCCATAGTATTAAACGTGTAAATGTTGAATGTATGAATTAAATAAAATGAAGAAAAAAATTTGATCGGTAAAAATATATACTTAATAAAAAAAATCAACATGTTTTATGCAAAATTAGTAAAAAAAACCATATTAAAAATCATATAGGTAGTAACAGTGGCAACACCAGGGACGAGCCATAGTCCTACTTGAAAATGCCTAGCCCTACCACTGGCCTGACCTTATACGTAATAATATAGTCATTTTTCATAAGCAGAATTATTTTAAAGTAGTTTTGTCATTGTAGTCATAGTTGTCTATTAATTTAAAATTTTAAAATATAGTTAACTCATATTAATAATTTTTATAATTACTTTCTTTTGTTTTGCTGAAGTGTCATTTATTGTGGCCCTAGCTATAAAAAAAAATATAGAAAAAATCTTAGCGCCGCCATTACAGTACACAAAGTACTTATAATTGACATGAAAAATTATGTTCTTGATGCATTTCAATATTTTGGCGAAAATTTTAACGTTCTGTGTTTTATTCAGGATACTAATTGACCAATCACTATACGTTATTTTGTACTTCCATGGTTTTATACTTTATATCACGGTCACATAAGTTTAAGCATAAACAGTGATAATGATATGGGGAATTACTGATTGCAGTTAATGAACAAAACAAAAAATAAATAAAAATTTAGAACATTTTCAAATAAATTGCTATAGCTTACATTTTATCATTTATTTTGTTTGCTTGTCATCTCAACTGTCTTAATAAATACTGAATAATTATTAAACCAGTTCGGTAAATCTTTTAATATTTAGTTATATTGCATTATACTAATTAATTGATTTTTAATTTTGATTAAGAATGGCTGCATTTGAAGAAATGGGTGTTTTACCTGAAATTGGCAAAGCTATTGAAGAAATGGACTGGTTACTACCAACTGATGTTCAAGCTGAAGCAATACCCTTAATACTGGGTGGCGGTGATGTGTTAATGGCTGCAGAAACTGGTAGTGGAAAAACAGGAGCATTTTGTTTGCCAGTCATTCAAATTGTTTGGGAGACTCTTAAGCAATCTGGTAAACAGAGCGGAGTTTCAATCAAAACCTCTAGTGAATCTGATCCATGGGCTTTAAGTATGTGGGATCGTTCATCAGCTACAGCAATAACACCTGATGGTAAAAAATGTCAATCAAGAGATATAAAAACTTGGCATGGTTGTAGAGCTACCAAAGGTGTAAAAAATTCAGGGAAATATTATTTTGAAGCTACTGTCACAGATGAAGGGTTGTGTCGAGTTGGTTGGTCAACACCTGGAGCTGTATTAGATTTGGGTACTGATAAATTTGGTTTTGGTTTTGGTGGTACTGGAAAAAAATCAAATAATAAACAATTTGATAGTTATGGGGAATGTTTTGGATTACATGATACAATAGGTTGCTGGTTAGATTTAGACAATTTGACTATTGGATTCAGTAAAAATGGTAATTATCTTGGTGATGCATTTAAAATACCTGGGAATTTAAAAACTTCTGCATTTTATCCAGCTGTGGTCTTGAAAAATGCCGAAATGGTATTTAATTTTGGAGATTCTGCATTCAAATTTGAGATTCCTAAGGATTTTTCTGCTGTAAGTAAGGCATCCATTAATCAGATTGAACTTTCTCAATGTAATGCTCCAAAAACAGATTCAAACATAAAAAAAGCTAATAATGCTCCATATGCAATAATTATTGAACCTTCCAGAGAACTAGCCGAACAAACTTTTAATCAGATTAAAAAATTTAAAAAGTACATAAAAGAACCACATATCAAAGATTTATTAGTAGTTGGTGGTTTTAGTATTAAAGATCAAATTCTTGCTTTATCATCAGGTGTTGATATAATAGTTGCTACACCAGGCCGCTTAGAAGATCTTATATCTGGTGGCCATTTATCTTTGTCTCAGTGTAGATTCTATATATTGGATGAAGCAGATGGATTATTAAAACAGCGTTATACAAAATTAATTGATAGTCTACACGAAAAGATGCCAAAAATTTCAAATGATGGTAAAAGACTTCAAATGATTGTTTGCTCTGCCACGCTCCATGATTTTGAAGTAAAAAAATTAGCATCACGTCTCATGCATTTTCCAACTTGGGTAGATCTTAAAGGTGAAGATTCTGTCCCAGAGACTGTACATCATGTAGTAGTGACTGTAGATTCCCAAAAAGATACATCATGGACATCTTTGAAAACTCCCATTCCTACAGATGGTGTACATGATAAAGATAATGTAAGAGCACTAAATACATCTGAAGCTTTATCTCAAGGAATAAAGCTTTTAAAAGGTGAATATTGTGTTAGAGCTATTAACAAATACAAAATGGATAAAGCTATCATATTTTGCCGTACTAAACTTGACTGTGATAATTTAGAAAAATATTTTAAGCAACTTGGATCCTATTATACTTGCTGTACTCTTCATGGATCAAGAAATGTTAATGATCGTAGAATGAATTTAGAAAAGTTTAAAAATGGTGAAATTAAATTTTTAATTTGTACTGATGTTGCAGCTCGTGGTATTGATGTAAATGGATTACCCTTTATGATTAATATGACATTACCTGATGATAAAACAAACTATGTACATAGAATTGGCCGTGTTGGCCGTGCAGAACGAATGGGCTTGGCTATTTCATTTGTGGCGTCTATACCAGAAAAAGTATGGTATCATGGTGAATGGTGTCCATCTCGAGGGCAAAGATGTTCAAATACTGCATTAACTACTAATAAAGGTTGTTGCATTTGGTATAATGAACCCCAATACTTGGGTGAAATTGAAGATCACTTGAACATAACAATACAACAAGTTGGACCAGAAATAAATATTCCTATGAATGAATTTGATGGAAAAGTTGTATATGGCAAAAAAAAAGCAAATAATGGACCAACATATAATAATCATTATGATCAACTATTATCTACAATTAATGAACTTACAAAATTAGAGACTAAGGCTCAGTATATATATTTGCACATGATTAATAATTAGCTGTATCATTTTGTACAAAATACTAGTACTTTTTAAAAATAAAAATAAACATGGTTTTCATATTTAACATTTTGGAATAAACATTTTTTTCTCTATATTTCATCATAGTTATTTTCTATTTTCATACACAACAATACTGTACTAAATAAAATGTGGTGTACAATTTCTTAAATTACAAGCTATCATTCTTCATGCCAGTTCCAACGGGTCCATGACGTCTTTCCCACAACATGCGATTCAATTGTTTTGCATAGCATCTTTCAGCAGTAATGGCTACTCCCAGTTCACCATCTATCAAATAAATAATTATTATTATAAATTATTTATTTTTATTTTTAAGTACATATATTTATAATTAAACATATATTCATCACTAACATTTAATGTAATAATTTTCTTCAGCTTTTTGATATATATCATACAGAGGTTGACATTTTCTCATACCGTCTGGTCCTTCATAAATACGACAATCTTCGTAACGTTGTCGTAAAATAGATAGAATATTGCCATCTACCATCCTGTATAAATTATTTAAAGCATATTTTTTAAAAAGTACTTCATATTACTATATCAATTATATAATTGAAAGACACAAAAGCAATGGGAAAATTATTTATTTACAAATACAACTTAATATATATTATTGAATTTTATCAAACATTAATTTAATAAATTATAAAGACTAAACTTCAAAATATATAGGTAGATTTAGGAGAGAGCACTTAAGTTATAGGTTCTTCTTCAATCATCTGCTGTAATTTATAAATTTATTCCATAATACACATTTATAACAAATAAATTGTTTTAAAATGAACTAACTGTCAAATGGAATAGTAAATTTGTACGAGTTAAAAGCTTTTCCAAAAATAAAATTTGTCTACAATAAACATTAAAATAGGAAAATATTCAATGAAACATTAAATTATTACTATAAAATAACTAACATGGAATCATTCTGCGTTCCTAATATAAATTTATACTTGTAATTGCCACCACCTTTACTCTATATTAACCCATACAAATAAATAGTCTTTCCTAAATATTAATGTTTAATAAAGGTATTTTAACTATAAATAAAAATTAATATGAAACAAGAATTATAGAATAATTTTTTTGTAGTAAAAAATTGTTAATGAACATAAAATTAAATAAATGTGCAAAAGCAAATGTCTTTTTTTTTAGTTTGAAATAAATCTATTTTTTACAATATATAATACTCAATTATAATGTATTATCTTAATTATTAGAACAAATAGTAAAAATACCACTAATTCACATTACTTTAAAATTAAAATTAATAATTAAATAATGTACACATAAAAATTTATAGATTTTGAATGTCTTGCATGGTAATTAATATATTTCTATTTATTTGTTATTAATATTGGGCCCACTAAAAAAAATTCAAGTTGAGATCAAATGTATTAATTCTTAATATTCTATAAAAATATTTAAGTTTCATATGATAAGAAGATGCATAGCATATTATACAACTAAAGTTTTCAAGTACATAGAAAGAGTATTTATGATTTAATGTTTTCAATATATTGGTTATCAGTTTAAAAATGTCTTTAAGAAAATTATTATAAATAACAATAATATTCTCCTGTTCCACATACTTATCCCTAATTAGCTGTTGAGTCGCTTCCCATTTGCACAGTCTATCATCATCATAGCATTGATCAACTGTTGGTACTCTTCTTAATTCTTCGTGGTAATAGTTGTAATCTTTTTGATTCGGCTTGACAATAGTTTCTTAAGACATTTTAGAATGCATACCATTAAGAATTAAATTATAGAACTTAAAATAATTAATCATGTGCAAATAACTAAAACAATTTTATACCTCTAACCCAAATTAAAGGTCCAAATAATATGCCTTTAGCAACTTCAAGAACATTTTCAATTGGGTTTCGGCCAGTGTACACTTGCTTTTCATATCCGAAAATCTTATCCGGCTTGGTGTCTGTATCAGAAGACATGGTTGATGAGTTGATGAGAAAAAATGTGAAAACGACGAATACCGAACAGCGAAAATTTTGTAATCCTTATCACCGAGTAGATAATGAATTTCGATTCTGAAGAACGACCTTTAAAATTGCATTGAATAATATAAAATGTAATTGAAATCCAGCACAACCATTTGGTGCCACTGTTTCATGGCTACACTGCATTATTATACATTATCAAAGAACGGGAAAAAAAATTGGGCGGATGAACAAGATAAACACCACTGTACAACCCAAGAAGATCCATTAATTATTAATGCATTTTTATGCTTTCTGATCCATTCAGATATTAATTTAATTTTTATTTTAATTCGTTAATCGAAAGTTATAGACCATGAAATTCTGTGGACCCAAATTATCACTATGTGGGATCATCATCAGCATTTGGGGTATAATCCAATTGGTAAGTTTTAGTTTACGCTTTATCTGCCTGTATAGTAATTGTGATATCTTCAAACAGGTGTTGATGGGATTCTTTTACTACATTCGGAGCGTAGCCTTAATCGAAGACCTGAATATTGGCGAGGACCATATATTTAAAAATTCGCAAGAGTTTTATAGCACTGCTGACAAAATGTATTCTTTGGTAATAGCTACGACACTTACATTTTTTCATAGTGATATATTTTTTATTGCTTTCTTATTAGTATATCCAGTTAGAGGAACATTGCTTATTTATTTTTTACAGTATTTATATTCATTCTTAAACCATTTCTTCTTGGTTTGAAAACGAATTGGTATTAGGGGACTCAGAAATAAATTCTGGCTAACAATTATTTTGGTTTATCTCATTTTTGATTTAAATCTTCTTAACTCTCGCTTTATTTCTATTATTCATACTATCATTAGTCTTATAAATTCGACTAGCTTCCTAATTTAAATATCTGCATGCATCATATATTTACTTGTATTGCTGTAATGACCAATGAAAACAAAATAAAAATAAACCATTATTTCGATGATAATCACTAGAAAATGTAGTTTAAATTTAAGTAATGTTTAAATAATACATTTTAGTCAAGAAAATATAAATACATTTTAATTTAAAAACTAAAGCCATCTTAAAAGTCATCTTTTATTTTTTCGTTTTACTTCAACTTACTCTAAAATTATTTAGTTTTTAGTGATAAACTCGATAAGTTATTCTTTTGTAAAACTACAAGTATTTATTAATAATTTTATGTAAATATTAAGTATGGTATTGTTATAATATTGTAACAATAGGCTTAGGTCATTGTAATAATAACATAACAATAATATACCTACAATGAAACGACCTACCATATATTAAAATGAACCATTGAATAATTAAATAAAGTTTTTGTCACTGTTTATTGATGGATATAGTATAAAGAAAAAATAATCCAATCACTATTTTTTTTTTCTAGAATGCATACAATTGTTGGATCGCTGCATGTCTATACATATTTACACTTGTTGTATCTGGACATCAGTTTTACATGAACAATCGAAACACAATGAGTTTGTAAAGTGTTATTTAAATGTTACCTTTTTTTTATTGTAGGAGGTATTTTTTCTTTATTGTCATCATTTTTTTTCTATTACTTCTTTGATCATATTTGAGTTATTATACTTTGTTAACAGATTGTTAAATTATTGGGTTTTTGTGTTATACTGTCAGAAGTTAAAAAATGTCTTAGATAATAAGATCAAAATTTGGAATATAAATATATAAATATTTATTTAGTATTTTATACTTAATAATCATACTATAAAACTTAAAATGTAAATTATTATTGGTAGACATAAATTATTAGCTATAAATATTAAGCATTCCAAAACTGTATATCTAATTAATGATGAAGTTTATGATATTTTCTTCCCTTGTCCTTTTTAAGGTACAATAATAATTGATTTTGCAGTTTTTTTTTTTTTAACAAAATGATATAAATTTGTTATGGAGTATTTTACTTCCTTAACTGTTCTTAATCTTAAATTTTATTTGCAATTAATGCTTTAGAGTAAAAGATATGTATATATTACAATTAAAATTCAAAATCCGTTAAAACTAGTTTCCACAAGTTCTTTGTTCTCAAAATTCGTTTAAACTAGTTTCCACAAATTCCTTTAGTCAGTTCTTATTTTTACTCGTTAAAACTTGAATTAATTAAAACACTCGCTGTTAAAATTAATTGTAACTTATTTTTTTTAAGTTACAAATAGATATGTTTGAAATATATTAGTGGAATCTTGAATTATTTAGTTAAAATCTATAATGTTCACATTGATAGTATATTCTATCAAAGTTATTATATCTAAGTAATTTAATAGCTGGTTGGTCAAATTTATCAAGCAATTTTTATAGATTGTCTATGGTAGCATGTATTTTAGATGCGATGAATTTAAATACATGCATTTAAATTAAAAGTATATTTTACTGACTTATTTAAACTTGTTAATTCTAGTTTTACTACTTAAAACCAAAATTAACTTTAGTGATTTGGAGAAACTACTTTTAACAAATTTTTGATTTTAACTGTAGCTGTAACCAGCACTTGTATGAAATGTTATAAATAATTTGGAAAAAAAAAAGTTATAATAAGTTGTTATACATTTTTTTTTCATTTCATTTAAAGAGATATATTTTCATTTTTTATTTAAACGGATTTTGTGGGTTAGTTAGTATTTAAAAAAATGAATAAGAAATATTTGAAAATTCAATAAACTATACATTAAATATTGGATTAAATATATTGGTTAAAATAATGAATTGTATGTATTTAAAATAATGGCTTTTAAATATTCAGTATTAGTTCAATGTTTTTTATTTCATTTGATTTAAATTTTTAATATATTTAATTTTCATTGTCTAATAAAGTAATTGTAAACATATATAACTGATGAGTATTACCTTAAGGTATATATTATTAACAAATACATTTTAAAGTTAGAAATATTTGCAAACAATTAATCTTTGAAATTAATTGGTCAAATGTATATTTGGTGATTATTTAGCATTTTCTTGTTAGCACCCAATTACTATATATTTCAGGTGATCTTGATGATTTGTTATAAATCCATTCAAGATAGCCAAGCGTTTTTACCAGCTTAACTAATATGAAAAAAAAAATAATAATTTAATTTTTAATAAATCAATTGTAAAATAAAAATCAATGAGACTTAACATTTTATTTAGAAGCCTAATCTATATATGGTTTATATAATAGTATAAATTATATAAAACTAGTATCATCAAATTTATCAATCTCTGATGATTGTTGAAAATGTGAAATTTGTTTTTATTATTTGATCACCACTTAGTAAATATATTACACCAATTAAATGAATTTTGATTCTTAATCATTAATACAAAATTTATGTAAATTAAGGGTATAGACTGAGAATAACAATTGCTCCATTAGGTAATGATTGTAAAAAGTTTCTTAATGTAATATTAAATTATTATATTAAGTACTATTAACTAAATAAAAAAATTATGTTTTATTTCATAAAGCTTATAATCGCTTTAATTGCTAAATATTCAATTGCATACTTACTTTATTGTAATACTTATTGAAGTAAAAATATATAATTTTCACTTCATTAGATTTAACAAAACTAACAACATTTTTCTTTTAATTGTTCATTATATGATATTTTACTTAGAAAATTATAGGTTTAGTTTAAAATATATTTTTTATTAATAATATTACATCATTTATGCAAAAAAAAAAATATATTAAAATTATTTTTGTATAATCATAATATGTTATTTAATCACGGCTATGGTTATTTTTTTTAATTTTTATATTAATGAAAAAATTATTTTTGGCACAATTATGTATTTAATTGTACTACTCACTACCCAACGAAGTATACCTCTAAATATAGTCTCATTTAAACAAATATAAAATTTCTTAATAACCTTTTAACCAATAAAAAATGTGCAATACTATAAATATTATATTTTTAAAATAGTAACCTCAAAATACTAACATGTTTATGAACTAATTTACTATTGGTGGGTATTTTAATTTGGTCGCTTATCTGATCATAAATTAGATGCACTCACCCCAGATCTGATAAGGTTCTATCAAATTAATTATTTATTTCAGTCTTTCTGACTAAGCAACAAGCCTAAAATTAAATAATCATATATTATACACATAGACCTTATACATAGTATAAGGTCTATGATTATACATAAATATTCACTACAATTAAATTTTTTAAAAACTGAAAAATCACCACTTCTAAAATATTTTTGCTGCACACTAAAACATATATGGCATACAGGAAAATCCATTTTTGCTTTGGGACATTTCATAATAAATTAAAAAATATATAAATTTAAATATAAGTATACTTAAGTTAAACAAAAAAATATATTTATAAAAATTTATAAATTCATTAACTACAAACCCTTATAATTTAATGTGTAAATGCCCATATAAATTAATTGCCATTACAGTAAATATTTTAAAATTAAAGTGTTCTTTTATAAATTTTTTCTAAAAATTTAAAAAATAAATCTTGCGATAAACCCCGAGAAACTTGTTGAATATGAGTACATATTAAGTTATAACTTTCTTCTTCGTAAAGTTTATAAGTATTCGGTAATTTTAATTGTTCGTACAAGTCTTTGATAATTTTAACATTGGCTGGGTTGTCAATACCATAGTTGTCTTCCATAATTTTTTTCTGTGTAGGACTTGCTTTTTGCAATGCTACCACAGCTAACCATGAACATTTGCCATCTTCTATGTCAGTGCCAATTTTACCCATAACTTCAGGGTCTCCATAACAATCCAAAAAGTCATCCTAAAATTATTTTTCGATTTAATAATTTAAAGATGTTTATTAATTTATCTCATTTATACTTGAACTTGAAAGAAATGTCCCATTTCAAGTAATATGGTCTTCGCTTGTCGGAAAATTTCAGGGTCATTTATATTTGCCTGAAATTATATTTTAGTTAGTGAATGTTAATTTAATCATAACAAAATATGCTTACCATTCGCATAGCAAGACACACGGGAAGAAAAAATGAATAGTATGCAGTCTTGTACTTAACAATAGCTGTGTAAGTTTCCATGGTATACTTTTCCAGTTTCTTGGTTTTAAAACTGTTAGCAGTTAACATATCAAGACACTGACCCATTGAAGTTTTCATTGTAACCTAATTATTGAATTGAGTTAGTACTGTATTTTTAGGGAATGAATAAGGCTCTGAGACTCACCATTTTTATAATTAAGTTATAATATAGATGGTTTAAAAATATAATATAAAGGATGTTTTTAAAATTATTTAAGTCTGAAATTCAATAATCTATCAAATAGGTTCTCTCAGGGCCTTTAAAATCCTTAAATCAGCCCTAAATTAAATGATATAAGCAATTTTTTTTTCATACATCAAAAAACAGCTCCAGAATGTGTATGTAATAAGACTTATCCTTGAAATACTTTTTAATCAATTGGTAAATAGCTTGTTCGAGAAGAATACCATCATTTATTGCCACTAAACCGATATCATTGTGCCGATACCAACATGGACGTCCTCGTCTAGTAATAGCATTATCCATTATATCATCCAGTACTAATTGAAAAGCTTGCAACTAAAAATATATATGTATATATATAATTTTCATATGATATATAAATATACATTCGTACACGTAAATATTCATTACATTTAATATAAATAATTTTTAAAATCGATAAGATTTTCTACAATTTAGTATTTGATGGCATCAAATTACTAAGAAACTAAAAATAAAGTATATAGATTTGCTGTAATGTGCAAACAAAAGAATATTAAAAAAAAAAAAAGTATATAGTTTGAGAAAAAGTAAAAATAGTGAATAATGAAAAGCCTAAAAATAATTAAATAATTATATACAACAGTTGATAATTAAATAATTAATAATCATTGAAAACTCATTAAAGTAATTTCTTTTTGATAATATGTTTACTGCATAATAAATGTATGGGTTTCTAAACAACCAATTTAGAATTATAAAAAAAAATCAAACATTTGAAATTTAAAATGAATTGTTATTAACAATTACTTAAAGAAAATAATTTATATTTATAGACTCAATTAATATTAAATAATTACTATCTATGAAAATAATTTCTAAGAGCATTTTTATTAATTCAATAATTGTATTACATCTTAATTAGTTTATAATGCAATAAATAATTATAAAAAAAAATATCTCACATGTATTATACTTAATTTTTTTCATTCAATTAAAAATTAATTCAAGTTTAATTTAAATTAATTATTTTACAATAAGCAAATAATATTATTTCAATCCAAGAAATGTGAAAAAATTTGTTTTTAATTAATTTAGTGTACATTATTATACATACATTCTCAACTAATTAAATACACAACATTAAAAATTTAATAGTTATAAATTATTGTATTCAAACTATGACTGCATTAAAAAATTAAAATACTATCAATGTAATTATGTTTGGTTTTTTATTGTTTAAGTTTTATTTTTCTAGCTTAAAATAATTATACATTTTATACAGATAAGAATAAGGTAAACCAAAAAGGTTAAAATTACAATCTTTCATTGAACTATAAGAAAAATGTATAGTATTAATTATATTATATAATCTTTGATTAAGACTAATAATATAATTTATTAAGCTAAATATTTCAATGATGTATATTAAAGTAATATTTATGTAATATTAATAGAAGTTTATTTTTATAGTTATATTGACTATCAAGCCACTTAAAATAATTTCAGATAAAAATTAAAAAAAAAATATTTTTAAGTAATATTTTTCTTAAGTATTTCTAGTAATTTAATAGTACCTAATTTGCAAATATTTAAATATAAAATTTCAAAAAAATTATGAAACTGATAGAGAAAATTTATCAAAAATAAATGAATAGTGTTTTAATTCAATATTATACATTTTAATGTTAATTAAATTACATCTAATATGGAACGAAATACTTTTATGAAAATGAATAAAATAAATATAGGTAGGTATATTAAGATTTATGTCTTGATTAATGTCAAATAAAAAAATGATTATTAACTTAATCAAATACTCATATAATGCATTTCAAAAATATAGATATATAAGTTGTTAAAATCTGTGTTCATAATCATGTATTTATAAAATTTATATTTATACCTTTACCTACATTTGGTTCAATGAATAATTGAAATAATTTAAATTTACAATTAAACACTTAGATACTTCATTATAAGTGCTTTTGATTAATAATAATAATCATCAGTCAATTAATTAATTTTTACAATAATATAACTATAATTAATTAAAAAAGAGATAAATTCATTAATATTTCAATGTTTTCTCAATTACAATATTTATTCCTTATTACAACTTACTATTTCAACACACCATCCCAGAACATAGGTTAATCTAAGATTTTCATCAGTTAGTTCAGATGGTGAAGCCAACATTTTATACGAAAGCACCAATGCTATCCCGCGGTTCTTCTTACCACCAGGAACATTGTATTGCAACAACTAAAACAATTATTAATTAAATATTAATAATAAACAAATAGTATACTTGACAGTATTATCCAAACCTTTGCAAACCATTTGGTGACATCAGGTATGTCCAAATTACGACCAGTGTCTGTTAAATCTCTAACAACATCCGGGAATACAGCCATAAAACTTCTGGTTTCGTCTTTGCTAACAGCAGTACCGGATATGACCGGTGGCACTGGTGGTGTGCGTACTGAACTCATGCACCTAAAATCCTACTGTATTCGAGCAGTCCGTCAACAAGGAAAAAAATATAAACCAAATACGTACCGTAAACAATCCCTTCGGACGGCCGTGGTCTCGCGGCCCAACTGCTTACAACGCGAAAACGCGCTCCTTCGACTCAGCGCCCTGGTGATGATAGACATTTTGTTCATGATTGGATTTTTTTCTCCAATACTAACGATAGAAAAAAAAAATGAATTGAATATTAAGTAATCAACCGCAAACACCTATTGTACGGCACAGGGGAAAACGCGTTTGGAGAAGACGAAAAAATCTCGGACGTCGTCAACGCGTAACGATTGCACGGCGGTCGTACTTGTCGACTGGAGAGCTGAATCGAAAGCGGACGCACGTTGACGTGCAGGAGTACGTGAAATTTCATTTTGTGTTCGACCCGTTCCCCTTATTTTTAAATTCCTCAAAAGGTACGTGCAGCCAGCCACGAACCATAGCCGTGCGTGCAGCGTAGCGACGAACGAGAACGCGCGACTGCTGCGCTCTCTGTGCTACGGTTGCGAAAGCTTTCGGGACCGTCGCTTCGGTTTTGATAAGTCGCGTTTGAAGAATCGCTTTCCCTCGGACCTCTGCGACATGTCTGGGGGCGTATTTACATATGTTTACCACTTGTAGGTCTGTAACAAATCGCTGCTCCAAATGTCCAAAAGAATTAAAACTTAATAATTATAGGCAGTAGCGTGGTGACAGGATTATTTGCAAGGGACAACCATGTATATTTGATACACCACTGATTATAGGTACCTTATATAAGATATTATATTTCAAAGTCATCTATAACCACCCCAGCCTTCGATTTGTTTCATTTTTATATATTTCTCAAATAAAGGTCAGTGAAACGACTGTCAACAAAATATTTGTAGAACCGCTGGCCTGTCAGAGTTGATATAGAATGTACCGGTCGCACATTAAATTTATAATAGAATAAATGCCCCAAAAAGTTTAAAATCATAACAATTGTGTTCTTCTAAAGTTTGGCGCCCAAAAATGTGCCACGTAGGCACGTGCATTAATTATCTACATATAAATATGCCACTGTTAACACGAATCACTATCTACTAGTGATCAGTTATTTCTTTCCTTGCAAAAGCGAGATAAACGAAACGATAACTCGAAAAACGACCACGCTGAAATATGGAGGATTCAAGTGTTGCTCAGAAAACAACTATAAGTTAGACAGGACAGGGCTTATTTTAACGTTGTTTTTGAACACATTTTGCGTAGGTAACTCTAAATGAAAAATGAGCAACTCTAATTGAAAAAAGAGCAGTTGTAAATACTATCTATAAATAAAATTTCTCACAATAATAAATTGTAGTTGATCACAATGTTTGTTATAATTATTCAAAAATATTGCTTTCGTGAACAAAAAAAAAATATTGATTCTTTAATACTTAATAACTTTAAATTTGCCATATTTATCGTATTTAGGTATGTATACATTACATAATGTAGAAGAGATAAACAACTGTAGTAACGAAAATAGCGTGAAAAAAAATATTAAAAGCAATAAAAAAAAATATTATTTTAAACTGCATGAATAAATTATATGTTTATTCCCCCGCCCAAACCCGAAGACACAGTTACGCCTGTGACCGGAACCCGTTGGATTTTTGGTGAGAGTTGCAGAGGTTTTACAGGTGAAACTCCAAAACATTAAATGTGATGAGCTATATGCTTTATAACACCAATATCTATAATACATTATGTATATAATATATTATACAGATATACGTATGCAAATATGTCACTATTTACTCACATTTGTGTAGATATTGTATTTATATTATTATTAAAGTATCGTTGTTGTATAAAATATTATATTTTTTGGATTCTAAGAAAAACGTTGAACCTACTGATTTTAGTATTTCTCGGTCTTTTTTTTTTCGAGTACCACTTTCGAGTATACCACTACGTAGTTAAATATATCAACATAGTACCTGCAGCATTATACATTGGAAATTAGATACGTAGATACGAAATTCTAATAAAGTATCAATCAATACATTTTTAACGTATCTAATTTATATTTCAACCTACCTACATATGTTTATCTATTATGTATCACAATTGATCAAGAAAAAAATTTTTTTAACAACAATGGCGATCTTGGTAGTATTTTTTTTGCTGAGGCAATCTATGTACCACCCTTCATAACAAAAATTAGAATTCACAGTAAATGGAATTTAAAAACATAAATATATAATTATAATTGTACATCTATCAACGTCCAACACAAGCGACAATTCGAACAAGACAGAAATAAGAAATATAAATTAATATTACAATTTACAACGATTTAATTAGGGCTGTCCCGACTCCTGGCTATAACAATAACTTATAATGTTTCTAAGTTTTTACGTTAACCACGGGCTGACCATAATACCAGTAAAACGCATCTATTTTTAGTACACATGGGCCATAACAATCGATCGTTCTGATGATCATTGTGCATACCCAATTCTACTCAGTGCAGCATTTAGACATTTTGCGCTCCGGCGCAAAAAAAAAATTGGCGCCCCTTTAAGGGACCTACCCACGGAAAATATAGGAGATAGATCCTCATGAACCTTTTTAGATATTCTAAAATTAATGCTATTTTTGTGTAGTAGGTCCGCTACCGCACGCAGCACACGATAACATAATACGCCATATTATTATAAATAAATTATGTTTATGACATTTTCACAACAAATATTATTAACTAATATTAGGTATATTAATAATATTCTGGATCGCTGATAGCTATATTGTTATAAATACATTAGTTCATAGTTTTTTAAGTTCCAATAGGATAATTAACATTCATTTATGATACTATTATTAAAAACAAAAATAATTATAATTTCAAAATAATTTTAAAAGTTCAATAATTCACAAGTGAGCAAATTTCTGACCACAAAATTTTGGTGCCCCCGAAAAACTAGCGCCCAGGGCAGTTGTAGCCAGTGCCCCCCTAAATGCGGCTCTGATTCTACTTATGCATTCGCGTACATACGATTGTGCGTGCAAATGATGTACACAAGTATAAACTTTAGAGGCGTTGTTGGACGGTGCTCATCGACATCATCGGAACATTGCTGCCGGCCGAAACACCATCGTTTGTTTACGTAATAATTATTTCATGTATTTCTTATCGGCTTGTTGCTATTTTTGATAATAAACACGAAATAATATACATTATAATAAATTATAAATCATATTATTAAACTTGGCAAAGAAGAATTTTTTTTTCAAATAAAATCAAAAAACCATTAAAAAGTCTTATCGCAGTATGTACTATCGGTGAGCCAAAAAAAATACTTTTTGAGTATTTTTTCAATCAAAAATTTAAGTCGAGGCAGCGCCTCACCCCCAAAACCGCCACTGTTTAACAATCCTGAATTATAGCCCAACAATGTGTAGGTATTTGATTTTTACATTATTTTATGCAAATAACACGATAAATCACTTCAATTTAGAATTAGAGGTAACTATTTTTACTTTAATAGTTTATACAAACATAATAATAAACAATGCATAAACATTGTTCAGACTTTTTAAAATGTATGCTAATAGAAATATACAAAGTACTGCAGGTAAGGTATGTAAATAGGTATGCATTAATATACCTACATTTTTTTTATAATATAATATATTTTAATTGGAGGCCTTACACATTAGTAACAAATCAAATTATATTTTAATATTTTATAATAGGGTATATTCACTTATGATTTATCTCTACAATTATCTTGACCACCGTGATAAATAAAAATGCACAGAGGACTGATTTTGCTTTTTCCCGTGGTGTGTAATATCTAACTCATATTAATTAATAATTGATTGCAAATTCACTTGTTCGTGTCAAGAGAAATAAGCTATTATAATTATTTCAACTGAATTAATACTCAAAAATATTACATTTTATACCTAAATGAAATATTAATGTACATTTTCGTAGATATTACTAAAAAAAAAAATCTTTAACCGTTAAGGTATAAATAGTTTATTACAGTGGCACCGAAGTAAAAAAAAAAAATTAGGACAAACATTTAAAACAAACACCTACCACCCATTTGGTTATATGTCTTTTTTACAAAAATAATAATATTTACATTTTTTTTTAAAATTATAGTATAAGTTTTGTAATTTTATGTTAAAAATAAAACTAATTATCAAGTATAATTTTACTAAATTTACATTAGATTATAGAATATATTTTCCATTATGTATATTTTAATCTCTAATTGTCGCTTTTAATTAGTCTTTTAATAAAATCTATAACTATAGGTATTATTGTTACATAACATGCATAATTTATTATGATTTATAATATATTATATAATAAACATAACACAAAATGTTTCCACTATGTGATATAAAATGCAATAACAATAATAATCATTAATACAATTAATTTTTATCGGTTTAGAAAGATAACAGATAACTATAACACACACCATTTATCCTACATCCGAGATACAGTTCTCATATATAAGTGCGGCCTAAGTGACTAAGTATCCAATTTAATACATAGTCATAAATTAAAAAAATTAAATACTTACTGATTAAACCATTATTAAATGTATATATATATATTTAAAATGATGGTGAAATACATACTTAATACTTAATAACTACTTACAATTATATAATGAGCTATTAAATTATAATAATATTTATTTATAATTATAATCAAGCTGTTATTTTCAATACATTAATAATTTTAATATTAATTATTGTGTTGGAAGTATGAAACATAAGAGAATAAGTACCTAATTACATTTAAAAAAACTACCTATACGTATAATACTTATACTATACTTGGTATGCATCTGCTATTCTGGATTTAAATATTATATGAATGAATATAATTTATATACCCAGTTATATAAATTTAGTATTAATATTTAAAGTGTATTTAAAATATTAAATTGAGTATCTTGTGATATAATAATACGTTGGCGATTTTGTGTTAATAAATCAAAACAATATACCTTCCGAAAAATATACGATTACTCATAGACGTAAACTGGTGAGGGAGCAAGGGTGGCCATTGCCCTCTAGAATAAATTGAATCGGTCATTTCAAAAAGCCCATTTCTCTATACATTTTCAAAACTAGTTTTATGTGAGAGATGTGTTTAACTAATAATAATGCATATTTCCTGCGAAACCGCCATATCATAGTTGGCTTTTTATAAGTGAATTAAATAATTCAACCCATTTTTAATTTTTATCTAATTTTGATCTCTAAAAATAGTTTTTTACGTTTCCAGACAATTTTCATTTTATGGAGATATGGCCTTTTCGAAATGAACGATTCAATTAGGAGAGACAGAGCCCCATCTCATTTAACATACCTTGTTTTAAAATAAGTACAAAAAAGCTGGTTATAGCTATTACTATATAGTTTTTTTAAATCTTAATTTTTAATTTTAGCTTATCTAACATAATGTTCGATAATGAAT